AACACCGAGTGCATTGTAATTAAATTTGATATTTCCCGACGTCGTTGTATCCCATAAAGTGAGATATCAATGTGTAGTCGGTGAAAGGCTGTGGGCTTCCTGTATTCACGTGGTTGGTTACTGAAGTCACAGTGCCATAATTACGCCCATCCGTTTGCCAATCAATGTGCATTAATTAACGACACTTGTCCGTATAGTAGGTGAACAGGCGTGCAACGTTTCCGGAGTATAAATTCATTGCCTAAGCAGCCATGCATAAACCGATCGTGAAGATCTCGGTTCCAATGTGATTCGTACGAAAGACAATTAGGCCCGATTGTACACACGTTCGTCTGTTATTACGTGTTCTCCATTTAGAGCTTAACGCAGTGATTGCTGTGACATAAGGAGCAGGCCTGGCTCAGTGGCAGACCGTTTCCCTTGCTTTCAAGAGATTCTTGGTTTGATTCTCTGTCAGGCGACAGCTGGAGTTTACATCTGTCGTGATAAATGCCACGTTACGTTATGAGACCAATTGAGGCTTCTATCCCACTTGTTTAGTAATGATTTTAATATTATATATAATTATAGTAGTGATTTTAATATTGTAAATTATTTATCTTCGGAACTAACTTCGAAAATTTGCCTTATGCACTTAATAGAACGTGTTGGGTCGGATCCTATGCAGGCTTATTTTTTAGTGTAATAGGTCTACGTATGTTAGGCAGGTAAATTTAATTAAGAATTAAGTAATTTATAATTTCGATTAGTTGGGTGGAAACTTTTCGCCGTTACAATAGGCTTACTATGTTTTGTTAAATGGAAATGGTCTTTTATTTAAATCTACGAGCTTGGATACAAATACGTCTTAATTTTATAGTTACAGGAAGTACGACGATGGCGGTGTAATTTTAGAGACTTACAATTATTTTGTAATTCACAGAACACGCCTGTATAGGACATCCCAGTTTTTAATGATTTCACAGCGAAATAAATAACAGTACGTTGAATTACGACAAAAGTGCGTCGTATGTCATCGAGGTTTCAGCATACTATATTGTCTATTACAATTAATGACACTTCAGTGCAAAGACTGAAAATTGTATTTGTACTTTATGTGCAAAGAGCTTGCTGTATTTCAAAAAGATGTGTGTTTCGCCGTTATTTTTCAAGGTATTTGTTACCCAAGTTTGTTATTGTTTTGAACAGCTGGGAACTACCAAGGATCATCGATTCGAACCATCATTGTTAGTCTGGTAACCGTGTAATCTGTTACTTTCGTCCATGTAATTCTTCTAGTGCCCATGATTGCGTTTTATCTTTCTTATCTGTGACTAGCTGTGATGCATTCAGCGTTATACACGTATTTATTAGATTCAGTGGTGTATAGGCTAGGTCAGCATTTACAGCTGTCATTTATGTGCCACCATGTCTTTTACATAAAGAAATTTCGTTTCTATGTTGTTTTAAAGTTTATTATGTAATCTGCAACGTCATGATGGTGTGATGCATTCTGTAATTTTATTCTGGTGATTTACTGATTAGTTTATGAGTTGTATTATTTAGTTTTTTTTATTTAAATTCTCTTATTCGATTTTATTCCATTTTACAACTACGAAAACGTAAGTTAACATTTGTCTTGGTGTATCTTGTTATGTTTCTATGGGTTTAATTTTATTTTATAAACCTGTTGCTTATATGTTTGGATGTCTTTTCGGTTCAGAATTGTTTGTAGATACCTGTGATAGTACTGATCTTGTTACAAAGCGCCGTGTTCGAAATTTATACGTTTTGCAGCTCAAAGCTCTTGGCTGGTTTCGGAATTCTTTTCAGAATATGGATTAGTCAACTTTGCCAAGACCACACGTAATTTTCTGTTACTTTTGACAAGTTGATTGTCAGCGAAAGTGGAGTTCAGTACGTAAATAAGTTACATAGGATATGAATATTTCAGACACTTATGAAACAATCCACTGAACCAGTAAACGCTAGAGGAACGCAGATACACAACGGTCACGTAGGCATCAATTCAGAACTCGCAAAGGAATGATCTGTGTAATGTAATTTTCTACCCTGAAGAACTTAAGAAGATTATATATTGTTATGGATGGAAAGCTGTGTGTTTTCTTCATTCTACCAAACGAATAACAGTATCTTACCTGGAAAAAGAACAATTTTTGCGTTGATGTTCTTGATTCTTTACTTATCATGGGAATGTGAACATTGTCGCCCTCATGAAGACGAATGATGCCTCGGATTAATTGAAATAACGTTTGCTGCGTAATTATTGCTGAATTGCTGTTATGTTGTCATATTTATGATGTATTGGGCGTGTGTTAGTGAATGTTCAGCTTATGGAAGTTGTTATGATTGTAGCATATTCTGCGTTTATTGTATTATTATACGGTTTTATTTCAGTTTCCGTTTGTCATCAGATTACTTTGTTATCACATTATTCCGTTGCATTTGCCATTTCGTAACAAACTGCCGCGTTGTGATAGGACCGCATCACAGTATTTTATGCCATTAAGTGACTCGTTCTATTACAGCGTTGGTCATACGTCACGGCTGAGTGATTAGATTTTCTGCCCCGAATTTGGGAGGTCCGTGTTCGATTTTCGATCCGAAGACCCGGCTGTTTTCACTGAGGTTTGTCGTTGTTTATCTCAGTTGCTTTAGGGAAATGTTTCGACAGTCACTCCTTCCAGTTCCATCCCAAGTCATTCATAGTCATCCTATCGACGCTGTTAAAACTTATGCTATGCAGGTGGGAAAGCGTCGTTAAACAAACGTGTTGTGGAATATATAACCCGGACTGTTCACTCTACGGACTTGACTGAACTGTCACATTTTACAGGGGATATTTGGACAGTCACAGAAAAAGTAGGATGGGTGAAGTAGGGATTCGAGTGAGTGTTAACCATTTCTAGATATTAGTATCATTACGTCACACTGGGAAGTGGCGGAAATTGCCTGACCCTGTTATTGTTTGTACCTCCCTACTTTTGGACTTCGAAAAGAACCTGTCAAATGCTCAAATTTTTAGCGTTTTATGTTGGAGTTTGAGCTGTTTTTGCCCTCATTCCCCCTGGGTGTGGTCCTTGTATCGAAGGTGTCAGCGCAGGGTTCTAACTATGTAAACGTCTCACACCCTCCACATTGCTCTTAGAGGAACGCCGTTTCCGAAAAGGGAAGTGATTCGATCTTGCAACTGTAACAAAAGTCTATTTAGGTATGTCATACTCTTAAACATGACTGTACGGTTACCATTAGATTCATTAATGTAATTGGTACTGGATCTTGGGGATAGAAATTTACAGTACAATTTTAGAAAGGGCGTTGTTGTTGGAAGGTACGAGTGTGTGTGGGGGACGAAAAGCGGAAACTAACGTAGTTCAAGCAAGCGCAGACCCGGAGATCTTTAAAAGCATCGCCCTTAGTTGTCAAGAATTGTAAAAGCTGGAAGGCATCGCGTTCTCTTCTCTCCTGGTTTGCTGAAATCCTAGTTGTGATACCGAGTGAGGGCACATCAGTGATTTTTAATTATTTATTCATGTCGGGCCGTGAAATGATCAGAGAAGTGTTGAATTCCAAAAAGAAAGAAGCTGATTTGCTTTCTTCTGAGTCGGCCTGCTGTGCAGTTGTAGCCACGATAAGTGTTAAAGGAAACACAAACCCGACGCTAGAGGCTGAGGTAGGAACTGAGACCCGTGTCACATGGGCAACTTGGCGTTGCTTCTTTGTTCTCACTTTGATTATGTGCAATCCATAAATGAGCTGCATTAAACAGAACCACCAAAATAACATCATAAGTATGAGTATTCCAAACTGAAAGACGTCTTTCTCTTAATGGTTAGACCGAACATTGCGGTGGAATTTCAATAAGTTAGCGAAGCTTAAACGAAAATTTAGTTTATGTCGAAAGTGATGGTAACAACGCTGAGAAATACGAATCTCCCATCATTTCCGCTTGTCCGATTTTCATTGTTGTTTAGTGTTGTAATACTTTGAGTTCGCATTTCTGCTCCGTTGATAATTGCACTATAGAACGATAATGACCTGTGATTCGGTGCTTTCGCCAGAGAGTATTAAAACTAGTGAAATTCAAGATTAAATTGCCGTTCCAATAGGCGGACAACTGTGTGGAATTTAACGAATATACGGAAACATTTAAAGTGGGGTGGAAGAGTGTTAATTATGCGCTTTCTTGGTAGCCATTGATGTTGTAAAGATCGAACAGATCTTTACATTATCAATGGAACAGTTTGATGATTCAACCGAAGAGTAAACTTCGATAAAAATGCAACTGAAATGAGCGTCATTCGTGTGAATTAGCGATGACAGTAGCCCATGGCCTAAGACGCAACCGGAAACATTTCATTCTAACGAATTTGCTAGTCGTGGACGTTTGTACTAAATGCGTCTGAAAGCTTAGCGATTGCTTAGAAAACAAACAAATGTCTGCTTATGGTGTGTTTATTTTGTCAAAGATTGTAATAAAATTGCTATTTATTGTTAACTTATTAGACGAGATTATATACTGACTGACTTTTTATCCTAGCCAGAACTGAATAATGTTGGTACAACGTGCATGTAATGGCCTGTTTTAATTTTGTTGAGAATTTCCTTTTCTCCTGATAACCGCTTACGTCCTATCGTATGTATTGACATTGGAATTTCAAATTATATCCGCTTTGTTCTAAGATATGAGACTAAATAATCAGTGGAATATTCACCTTCGTTCTTTTACTTTCAATAATTAGACATTCCAACTTGTTGAGAATAATCTGATACAGTTAAATCTTTCGGACTCCCTATACGAATCCCTGGATGTACGACCAGCCTCTAAGAAGGCTTCTACCACACGTCACTCCCCTCACCCCCGTCTTCCTTGTCGTCCTCAATTGACGTTTCCAATAGACTTCTTTGGGGGGGTGTTAAATTCTCCATTCCCTTCTGTCCTCCGATCAAATCTCATTGTGTACCTCGAAATTCAGCTGCATTTTATTATTTTGTTTCAGAAACACAAAGAGTTTATGGGAGACATTGTTGCCAACAGCAAACTCAAGAATGGTGAGTACAGCGTACAGATATTTTAGGGTGTTAGAAGTTTTGTCCCATATTTCTAGTAGCTGTATATAGGCCTGTATATTTTGAATAGGCTGCAGCTTATATGTTTGAGATTCTTAACATTAAAGAAATAGACGATGCCGGCTTTGCAGTTTGCAGTTTTATTTACATTGCTGCGTAACTTTTTTAAATGACTGTCATTTAACCTTTTAAAACCAACTGGTACACATTCTTTAAAATCCCACAGACTATTTTAGTTTTGGTGTGACTCAAGATAAACGGAATAAGCTTCGATTACTTTTCTAAATAGGATTAAATAACTGGTCTTTGTAATGCAGACGCTTTGTATTTTCTTTGAGGTAAGAACTGAATTTTTAAATATTACGTACTTGAACTTTGGGCTTCGGATAGTTACATTATGATCAAGACAGCAACAGAAATTTTTGTTTAACAAAAAACGAAAGAAAAGGAAAATGTGCTGGCCCAAAAACTGTGTCGGCTCTACCTGTATTGGCTATTACGTTGTGCGCCAAAGGCATTGTATAACGTGTTCGCGCACTTGCTGCGAGTTGGTGAGAAGCCACACGTCTATAATTGGGTTTTTATTTTGTCAGAGTGATGCATAACTTTTGAGAGTAGCAACCCCCCAGGAATATGACTTCCGATATAAGCAGCCTAACATTCTGAAGAACTGCAATAGTCAGTCATTAATATTTCAAACATCCGTTTAGTTTCCAGACAATTTTTACGCTTCAGTGTGAAATATATCTTACAATTTTTGTATATCTGAGTTACTTTAAGTCAGAGTGACGTCTAACGTAGTAGTGTAGGATTTTACTCAGTGTGACCCATTGTATGGCAATGCGAATAAATTCCAAATTTAGTTCCAATAACAAAACAGTGCCAATAAAGATTTAATTTTTGGCTAGCAACATCTAGTTAAACTTATAAACAGCCTAAGTATTGGCGGGGCGAGTAAGTTTATTGCTTAGAGATTAAGTACAGCATGTCGGTAATTTTTGAGTCGAGATAGCTCAGTCAGCAAATAACAGGCTAGAAACTGGATTACCGGAGTTTAGTTCCTGGAAGAAGCAGGAGTTTGTTTATCTTTTCGGCAGTGTTCAGATCGGTTCTGGGACCCATCCGCTCTCCTTTATAAATGATGAGGTGATCATCTTTTGTCTCCATGTCTGAAATGCGCGGAACTGTTGACGTCCTGTACGGTGCAGTGCCTAGGCTTTTATGGTGTAGTAATTAAAGCACTTACAATTAAGAAAGCATGATTCACAGCTTTAACTTTATTATTTTCGCTTTCCGATTTTACGGTTGTTGTATAATGAGCGAAGACTGTAAACCAGCTATCTATAGGCTGGACTACCAGGGTTCGATTCTTGCCAATCAACTGTAGAACCATCCAGCCTTCTTTCCATTAGATATCAAGCGCTCTTTCCCAGGGATATAACGGCTGGAGCGAGAAACTAACCCTCATTAGGTATAGGAGCTATTTTACTTCAGTTTTATTTAATCATGAACCCTAAAAGGTCTCTTAATTGTTTTAAATCATGATAAAAGAATCTCGCCATCTACAATTTTCTTCAGTGTTCCAGGTGGCCTGGGAGTCGCCACTATAATTTGTTTATAGCAGGCAGAATTAGAAATAGGCAAAGTACCTTCACAAGGGCGTGAATATTACCAGCTTAAAACAATTAATTGCACTGCTTTTGACGAACCCCCTTTCTTTTCATCCTTCAAATCCTGTAGGTTGTATTGCAAGTACTTGCATTGCAGTAGGCCTATGTAATTAAATAATTACGTAACTGCTGGTTCATACAAGCACTGCAGGAGATTCTGTGAGCGTGACTTTCAATATTAGAATTTAATGACCTTTAATGACATCATACAAGTCCCTTCCATATAAGCCCAGAAACTTCATTGATAAATCTCGTCATGTACTGTATCATTTTGTTGTTCTCAGGTTTTGGACCAGCTGTGTTGGCCAAGTCCCCATCCCCTCCGCCGCGATCTCCGCCCCCGTCTTCATCAAGGCGACCCCAAAGTCCAGACAACCCCAGCCCCTGCGGGCCCATTACAGAGGTATGCATAAGCCATAGGCACAATCAGCCCTTAGTTATGAGAAACTACTGCTTTAACATTGCATCTACTGATTTTCTCAACTTTGAGTTCTAATTGCCTCCTTCACGATGCGGTTGGAATCCGATCGAATACCGCAAATATCAACAGAGACGGAGGTTTTATGCTAAGCCGGGCCTGGTTTCCGGTGTTGAATATGTAAGCTGAGCATAACAAGGCGAGCTCGTGACGTCATCCACCAGTCACAGGGGGCTGAAGCAGGTACCCTGAGGACGAGGACAGAGATGGATCTCGAAACGTTGGTCTTTTCATGTTTTAACCACTCGACGCGGCTGATAGCCCGAGAAGATTTTATTTTATTATATTTACAGATATTTCATCTTGACAAATTTCATCATGAAAAGATAAATGCTGACCAATGTTTGAAGATTAGTTACTTATGATGGCAGTTGAATACATTGTGACTGGGAATGCGTCTGGTGTATTAATTCTGTTGGTCATAGTCATGTGATGTCACCATCATGCTTTCATATATTTGTCTATTTGTATCTTGTCTTCTGATCCAACTGTCACTCATTCTTGCACTAAAGCCAAGTGCCTAAGATTGGAATATTGTTAGAGTGTGTTCTTGTGGCATCCGACACAAAGAGGCTTTAGCTCACTTACTGTTTTTCTGTGTGTAGTAAAGTCACATTTAACGTGGCTGGGGTTTGTGTAAAATAAGTGTGGAAATATGTTCTAGATAGTAGATTATTAATACTCTGTAGGTGGAAATCGTCTTAATGGTTGATGAAATTTGCTGTACTGAATGAGTGAAAGTTATAAAGTCACAGCCAGGGCTGGTTATACGTACATGAGCTAGGGCCCCGTGTGGTGATACCCTATGACAACTAAAAGATATATTTCAATATGGAGGACAATATAAAAAAGTAATAATATCAGTGCTTTTAACTTGCTATGATCAATGACAAATATGCAGTGAAAAACCAGTGACTGAACTAGCAAACACGAAAAATGTTACCAGTAATTTTAAGTCAAGTTGTGTAATTTCATAAAGTGCAATTAAGGGTAAGATTACTGTCTTCTGGGATGTTGCACTGTGTAGTTTATTGGAAGCTTGCTCACATTTCAGAGGTGTATTCTGCCTCCATCATTAACGTGACGATAAAATTATTTCTGCTGTTAAAAAAACAAATTTTATTCACATTGGCTTCGATAATCTAAAGTTCATATGTAGACAGGCGCATAGAACACTGTTTCATAGGGTGTGCTGCATGTAGAATCAAATATGGGTTTAAAAAGAACTGTCAGCCGAGGATCACAAGCAACAATTTTTCAAACAAGCAGCGAGTCGTGGGTTCAGTCGTTTCCTAAGCGACAATATTTCTCATCACTGATTAAAAATCGTACTCACACGTCACTGTGGTGATGTGTTTAAGGGTTGCGTTTAACACGACTCCTTTTAATGTGGGATGTTTTGTTGTGAATTTGTTTTGCCGGGTTGCCACGCAGTCTCCAAGCCCTCAGATGGCAGTGATTGGACAGACACTACGCACACTGTTGCTGGCACATTGCTCACCTCCGGTGCTCAGAGATCACAAATCTTCAAACCGCATGTATCGGCACAGTGCGTCTGGTACTGAGCTTGTCGACTGGATTATGACTCTTAGTCCGAGCATCCACACCAGACACCAAGCAGCTGGCATGTGGCAGGCATTATTGGAGGAAGGAGTAATATCTCATGGTAAGTTAAGAGGTCAGTGACTCAGTCTCCCGAATACTTGCTTCGCCAAAAAATGTTGATTCACAGAAATGGTAATTTGAGAATGTTCGAGTTTCAACTAAACCTTGAACTCACTCACAAGTCTGCATGTGATTAGTGATCATATGTGAGATTCACATGCTGCATGGCTACGAGTATTGTTACTGCTTCACCTAAGTGTCATGCTATGAAGGCTCGTAGGGAGCATGCGGGTAAAGTTATCTTCACAATAAGAACAGATGAAAGTTGACTCTTTAATGTTATTTGAATGTTACCAGACATGAATACAAGATTGAAGTCTGCCTTTGTCATCACCCATTCTCAGTCTGCTGCTCTGTTTGTTTGTACCAAAACCCTTTATGTTTATTGACCTATATAAATGATGATACCCTTGTTGAACATAGCAGAATATTGAGTTATAGAAACTGACAGGAATCTTAAAATAGTACCAGAATTAAAATAAGAGAGGAAGCTACTGAGTTGTTATGTTCAGGTGTGAGGGAATGAAAAGCAGCAAAGTAGAAATTGGAACAGTACATTTTTGGGTGCAGGAGGATGGACACAGTGGAAAGTTGGATACAACTGTAGAGTGTGTAGTACTGTTGAGAGCAGTGTGTGGGATTGTATTTATAACTGTCATTGGTACTGTTTGGCTAACTGGTAGAATAGCCAGTAAGGGTTTTTGATTTGGCGGCATTAAGATGTTGATGAACGGTATAAGTATAGCTGAACACCACCGATAAATTCATATACTGTTCTCAAAGACTGTTCTTAAATTGAAAAGGAACAAAAGTGTCAAGTTGTAAATATTCCCTGGCATGTCGTACTTGAGGAATAAAATTCCTTCTGATAACTCTGTCTTACAGTAACAGGTGAACATCCGTTCAGGGACAAGGCACTGCTGTACAGGTTCTGGCAGGATGAAGAAGGTGCAACAGGCTTACCTTCTCAAGATGAGCTGGTTTGGGCTGAAGATCAGTTGAATGCAAGCCTGAACACACTTACACAGAAAGGACCAGATGCTATCATGAGGATGATACTACGCAAACCGTGAGTTGATTTTATAAAGACCTTGAAGCACATCTGTTCTGAAGAAGCTAGTGTTTACTTCCCACTGTTAGCATATAACAGAAGTGGAAAGATGTATGGGTGTTTGAAGAGCTCATAAATAACATTTAAAAATTTCTGAAAAATAAATATTGAGGAAAATTTCTGTGTAATATGTGAACCTGTTTTAAATGTAGTCTGCTAATAAATTAATAATTATAATGATTTAATAAATTACCATGAAATTTCAAAAAGTTGCCCTCATTTCTAACCTAGTAGCCCATGGATTTGTAAGTAAGGATGAAGGCTACCATAGCATTGGTAAAGGTTGAGAATTCCTGTTGTAAACCATTCTTTTGTCACTAGGACATGTTCCTATAGCAGTAGACAGGGATAATTTTCTAGTATTATGCAACAGTAAATCACATTGTTACCTTTTTTCCATAAAACAGGAAACAATAAAAATCTTTCACAAATCTTGTGCAAAGATTCAATCTGTTTATTTTGTTATTGTTTACTTTTACAAAACTAATTAACATATTTTTGGTATTTAAGGATATATTATTTTTGTTAGACCTTCTGTTCTCCTGTCAGATCTGAATACTGGTAGTTTTCATCCAAGTATAAATGCACAAATAATTAAATATACCACAATAAATATTTTTCTTTGTACGGACATTCGAAATGAAGGGTCATCTCAAATTCAGATCTTTCTATATTTTTATGGTACACAGTACATTCTCATGACATCATCTGCACTTGTAATTACTTTGTAGATCACATGAGAGAACTGTGGATGACCTGGAGATAATTTATGAAGAGTTGCTGCATATTAAAGCCCTATCCCACCTCTCCAACTCTGTCAAACGAGAGCTTGCCGCTGTTATAGTCTTTGAGGCACATCCACATGCTGGAACTGTGTGTAAGTTCTCTACCTTGATTTTACTGTTTGAGCTTAGTGTATAACATCATATATGAGTTCCATAAAGTGTTGAAGGTTTTAACAAAATTGTTGGCTATTTGCTGAAATGTTGGAACATCTTCAGTGCTTGATGTGGCTTATCCCCAACAGCTGAAGTAACTTACATGTAAGTTGTTCTCCTAGTATTAGGTTGAACTGCATGCAGTACATACAAAAAGTTCAATATAAGAGGACTAAAAGTAATATGGAAACAGATTTTAAATGTTACATTCAGAGTCCAAGATTCACTGATGATGGAAGTCAACTCAAAATATTAACACTTTCTGAGCAAATTTTCATGAGCATTATTTTGGCTCTTGCCTGTCCAATTTGTTTATTTTTACCTTACTAGATTTCTTCCTATGTAAGGAACAAAAAGATGTTTGTCATTTGTTGTAATGTAATATATTTTGCTTGAATATGAAGATGAATAAACGTATTCCATTATGATGAAAGAAGGTTGGTTAAACAGAATTTCAGAAACAGTTGTATTAGTGACTAATGTATTATTTCTTTATGTTGGCGACACTGTTGAGCAGAATGGTAAAAAATTAATGTATCATTGTTACCAAGTCTTATTGCTATCATTGTAGATGGATGGAGATCTTTGTTAGACAGATTCATAATATACAGTTTAACTGAATTCATACATTGCCTGATTTTGTTACTTTAAATTACTTCTGCAGTATTTAACCAAGGTGATGAAGGTCGTTCATGGTACATTATTCTGCGTGGCTCAGTGGATGTTGTGATACATGGAAAGGGAACAGTAACCACACTGCAAGAAGGAGATGATTTTGGGAAACTTGCTCTCATCAATGATGCTCCTAGGTAATTAGTCTTATCAATAATCATAGAGATTTCTCCCACTGAATCTATATTATAGAGGTCATGTAGAGATAAATATAAAAGAATGAAAACACTTTTGCACACTTTTGAGAGATTCACAGCACTGCTTGGTAGGCAAATGCTTCCTCATAAAGTAGCCTGTGAATCATAGTCACAGAATAAACTGCTGGGCCCATTAGTCAATGCTTAATTAATAACTGTTTAAAATCTATGAAGCTGTATTCACAAAATAATGGATTGTGTTTATAATGCATATGTTTTGTGGTGTGTGTGTCTATATATATATCTTGAAAATTGGAACTAATTATTGGCATAATTCCCACTAAAAGACCTTAATATGATGGCAGAGAGTGACAGTGACAACAGAATTGTGTATATGCATCTTCTAGAAATACTCTGTATTACTCTTGTGCTTTATGAAATATTATGGAAAGAAATATATTGTTAGTTGCATTGTTTTCTTTCACAGGGCAGCAACCATAGTTCTGAGGGAGAATAATTGTCACTTCTTGCGTGTGGATAAAGAAAACTTTAATCGCATCTTGAGGGATGTTGAAGCCAACACAGTTCGGCTCAAGGAACATGGCCAGGATGTTCTTGTGCTGGAGAAAATATCGCCAACTCACAGTGTTGCATATTCTCACTTCAAGTATGTATCACTGATATTCAAATATGTACTGTTCACTATATTTATGTTTTTATATGATTCTCAGATTAAACAGTGATTGTTTCTATAAACAGCATTAACCAATTGATGAACTGAATTTTTAAATACTACTTTGGTATTTTGCTTCAGAGGGTTAATCTTAAAATACAAACATTATAAAATATGTTGCTATAACGACATCCAACTTTTTGATGACTGAATTTAAGCTAATTCTCAATACATCATGTATATCATATGTCAAATTTATCTTAGACAGTAGACCCTGTCTCCATAATGTGTATGCATCTCATTTGGTGATAAATGCATTTAAGTAAAATGCTGATGTGTGTAAAGGATTCTATAATAATGTCAGAATTTTGTGTACTGTAAAGATTTTCTTTAACAATGAACATGAGTTTAATAATATTAGAATGGATTTTAAATAAATAAGGTGAGAAGGGTGTCAGCTAGATTCATGTGGTCCAAAATAAGGTCCTGTGGGAGGCTCTTGTAAACACTGTTATGAATCTTCAGACTGTATAAGAATTTCTTTACTGTTGAGAGACTGTTAGATTCTAAAGGAAGAAGCTGCTTCATGTTGTTAATTAATGAAGAAGAGTTACTTAACTACTTCAGTATGGGTAACTACAATAAATCAGGGCAGTGTCCAGAAATTCTTGCTGGAATAATCTGGTTTCAATAAATCAGTATATGGGTTCAAGCATAAAGCAACAACTGTGCAAGACTATTTATAATGAGTGTAAATAATATTATTATTTGTTTCCCATAGAATATAACACATCCATTTTGCTTGCTGCAACATAGAATTTGTAAGGTAGGCACTGTTTCAGCTCTTTTTCTTTCAGGTACACTGTGATGGCTGGAACACCACAGAAAATGCTGGAGCATCTTCTGGAAACACGGTTAGATGGGCGTGGAGGAAGTGGTAGTGTGGGTGGTCAGGATAGCCTCCCCTCATCTAGTGACCCCTTCCTTGAGGACTTCCTGCTTACTCATATTGTGTTCATGCCAACTCACCAGCTGGTCACAGAGCTTGCCAGACAATATCCTTTATAAGTACATTTCAGATGGGAGAAGAGAATAGGATGGATAATACAGGATTTGAGGTTTTCAAGTTAGTGAGTGCAAAGATGGCTGTATTCTAGGTTGTAGCATCATGTAGTCTGGTAGAAGTTTGCCAATACTGGTTAATTTCTGCTAGACTACACATTGTTACAACACAGAAGACAGCCATCTTTGAGATTTTATGTGTTCATGGTAGTGAAAATGTTTCTTGTACTCGGTAGTCTCGTATGCTACTTTGTAGGTGTAAACTAACATTTTTAAAGAACATATTTATTCCTTGTAATAAAGTCAAGTGTTGAAACACCTTCAACTCATCTGTCCACTAAGAAATCTCCTTCTTGAGCAAAGTTAAATTGCTAATTTTCAGGTATACAGGTTCTTCTCTTCCTACTCCCAGACCATGAATTTCATGTCCTTGTGTTTGGATTGGTAGGCTAATTTGAATTTATGTCAGAGATGACATTTTGTGGTTGAACTGAATATGTGAAGTATACATCTGACAGTTGCATTAGAGTCAGTTACAATATTTGTTTTATTGCAGTTTTTGGCTTTTAGATTAAACCCATTTACATGCACCTATATTTGGCTAATCTGAATCTGAGATCCAGTCTCAAAAAGCCCTGAAATATAAGTAATTTGATGTTTCAGAGGTCTTTTTCTGTTCTATTAACTCAGTTTTGTATTAATCTTATGGACTGAAATTTCTTTGACTTGCAAGCACTTACCGTATTGATTCTCCAAGCCAAGATCGTGAGTTTCTATTGGCCTGTAAGAGACGTGTGGTACAATTTGTGCATTGCTGGGTTATTACAATTCGACATCCTGTGTTTGATGACACCAATTCACTTGCTTTTCTGGAGGTATGTAATTTTGAATTCTTCTGTATTAATGTGAGAATTTATGGTCTCATGATGGTGTATATTCATTTTCATGTGGTTTGATTGTCACCTGTTATTTTCCTCATTGCTACAGCTACCAAATTTGGAGAGACTACTATAAGCTAATCTTGTATACACATACAAGTAAACCATAGTTTAAGCTTCTTAGGGAATTAGTGCCAACATTGAGCAAAATTTGTTAACTTATAGAATAATGAAGTGTGAGAAAAAGCAAGTGAAACTAACTATTTGTATGATATGTAATTTAATATGAAATGTTATGAATATGTTATGCAAATCTGAAAACAAAGAATATTTTTCTATTGCACCACTTTGCTTAATACTGAATGGCTTGTTTTCAGGAGCTAGCAACTGAGTTGGAGGCAGACTGCATACAGTGGAGCTCTCTGCAGGAGGAAGCCAGTCTCATGCATCATGTCATGTCCCAACTCCATCGATATCAGGATGAACGTGCCCTCAGTGCTGGGCAAAAATGGAAGTTGCCGCCATGTGGACAACCCATCAGCTTGTTCAGTGGTTCCAGTGAGAGCCGAACAGTTATAAGAGCTACAGATGATAGTGAGTATAGCCTATTGTATCTGTAATGGCAGTCAGGACAGCCATTACAGCTTACAGCATTTGTCATATTTTACCAGTTCACTTTGTAAAGTATGCAACAACCTAATACTGTCTGCATTGATTATTTAACAAAAGTGAGGAAAGGTCATGATTATAAAACATTAATTGGAAAGGGTGGACGAAGAAGTATTATGGCCTGTTTCAATGGGAAGAGCTGAGGAAAACTGTGGAAAGTCAGAATCAGGCCAAGTAAAGAAATGGATAATTTGAGTCTTTCTCTCTTGTTTTGTAATACAGTGAAACCTCGATGCATCGTTTTCGGCGGGGGTGGGAAATAAAAACGATGAATGCGGGAAAACGATAGATGCGGGAAAGCATTAAAAATTTAAAAAAAACAATGTTTCTCTTTCAAAGTTACTTCTTTTTACCAAAAAAGTCTTTAATGGACAACTGGTTTGTCGAAACTTTACGTTTTAGACCAAACAGAGCACTTTCCACGTTCAAAATGTTTTCCTCGTCACGTTCACTAATATTAAGCGCATAAAAGAACAACTTCACTTTCGCCAATGCAGCGTGCGCTTCGGCAAAACTCGGCAAAGCTTCGGGCTCGCATTCGTCGTCTCCCTCTTCCTCACCACTCCAACCCCCTTTGCGGACAATAACAGGAAGAATGGAAATACTATTACTGCCGAACTCAACGAAACGTAGCTGTAGAAGACCCTGACTGACCCTCATTCCAAAAGAATGTGCTGGTTGGGCGACATAACAGGTTACCGCTACTGTTTATTCCAAAAACATTGTGCGTCTTTCGGTATTAATTTATCTCAAAACCCAGCATTTTAATTTCTCAGAAACGATCATTGCGGGAAAATTGTTGGCCGGGACTAAGATTTTTGAACGATCGATGCGATAAAACGATAGTTCGAGGAACGATAGAAGCGGGAAAATGTAACATTATTTTATATGGGATGTATTCGGGACCGAACAAAACGGACGATGCATCCGGGAAAACGATAGTTCCGGGAACGATGGATAGAGGTTTCACTGTATAATAGATGAGAGAATACCTAAAATAAGTCTGTGTTCTCTACATTGTTATTAATATATGCTGTACCTACTCAGTAATCCCCATACAGTAGGTACCACTTCTGTTTATCCGCAAATAACAGTCAGTGAAATAATGTACATCTCTATCCACATGGTGTAAATGTCCAAAAACATACTCCTGTAACAATATCCAACCAACCACCTGACAACGTGACTAACCTTGTACGTTCTTGACACAGTATTTCTTGACCCAGATAAATCTGGTTCATACTTAATAACTTATTTTCCTGTGACCCATTTTAAACAAGACTATCAAAATATGTTCAAAATTAATACAATGTATAATTTTACTTTTTATGGTGGCAGTAATATTCCGAGTGTACTGTGCAGACCACACGTACTGCACTCTGAGGTTTAATGTGAATGCCACGGCAGAAACCATCAAAGTTTCTGCAGCTGACAAGCTGAAGCTACGACATGATGACTTAGTGCTAGTGGAAGTAAAGTCTTCTGGTGAACGAGTTGTCTTCCGAGATTCAGATGTCAGTATCCCAACAGGTCTCAGTCTTAATGGGCGCATCTTTGTCTCACCTAAAGACCATCTTGATGCTCTGGTAAGTATAAGTTAATCAGTAAAAACTGGTATGTCCTTTCTGTCTGATTTTTAGTTATTTCTTATGAGATGGGAAGGACATGTGGCAAGCATGGGCTAGCTGAGAAATGTGTCAGTGATTTCTGTCAGTTATAATATTTCTTCTTGTCACTACCCTCTGGCGATCAGATTCATTGTTGTTAATATTTCAGACATGTCTAGCAGAACAAGAGGGGCCAACAGAGGGCATGGATGTCGACTTGGAACTATTCAGTACAAAGGAGGTAGCATATCACATGACACAGTTTGACTGGGATCTCTTTTGGTCTGTTCATGAGGTAATGTTTGGTTTGAATATTAATAACCTATAGTTGCTTAACCCTTACACCCTCCAGATTCATAAGTGAGATTTCATATTCTCATGGTGATGAATATGAAGATGGCAGTCTTCTTGGTCACTGCACTGTGTAGTCTGGTTGGTAAACTTGTACCAGGCTACTCAGCACCATGACACCAAACAATATTGAAATGTATCTTTGGCAACTAAAATGGAAGAATATGGGCTGTTGGATTCATGTGGCTTTGGATAAGACCTAGTGGTGTGCTCTTGTGAACATGATGAAGACTTTTCAGGTTCCATAAACATGAGGAATTTCTTGATTAGCTGAGTGTAATGTCACTTTAACTAGATGGGTTTTGCGTCAAGTAGCTAGTTATTACTTAATTAATTTCAACATTACACCACTACAGGAAGAACTCAAGTTTATATGTATTTGGACAATTATTATAGTATGAGTTGATCTACCACACATTTGGGCGCCACCACTTTGGGCAGATTACAGCAAATTTGGATGTGTTCCTACGTCGCTTCAATGAAATACAATTTTGGGTTGTGACAGAGCTGTGTCTTACACCCAGTCTCAGCAAACGTGTGCAGATTCTGAGGAAGTTCATCAAATTAGCTGCCTAGTGAGTAAACATGATTAAAAAAACAAGTAGAACAGACTCATCAGAACAGCAGGAGTCATCAAAATTGTAACATAACCATACCTTAAGAAAACTTGATACTTTTAAAGGCCTAGGACATTTAGTTTTGGACCTCATACCTAAACAAGGCATGAGAAGAGTATTGTATTTTTTATGGTTGTGATGCCATGTTGTCCTGGAGATATTTATCGTTATTTTTCCAAAATATTGGCAGAACCCCACAGTCTGTAGTAATTCTTTACCACCATGATTGTTGAATCTTAAAGACTTGAGAAACATTACTACATTTGGTGAACAAAACTTTCTTGTTACCAGATAACTGCTAAATCAGTTATGTCATAACTTTATATTTTGTGTACAAAAGTGTATTAATGTTTTATTTTTTCTTTAATAGATGCAGAAGACTTATTTTTTATTGCTTAAATTATCTTTAACTTTGATGTGCTGATGACTTGTAAACTTATCTGTGATTTTTAGAATGCTATACATGCTGTAAAATGAATTAAAGAACCATAATAAGTGGATGCATTATGTGTGTTTGCAGCTGCAAGGAATATCAGAACCTGAATGCATTCTTTGCCATTGTCATGGGGCTGAGTAATGTAGCTGTGAGTCGTCTTTCCCTTACATGGGAGAAACTCCCTTCAAAGTTCCGCAAACTGTACACAGAGTTTGAAAGCCTCATTGACCCAAGCCGGAACCACCGAGCATATAGGATCAGTGTTGGCAAACTGCAGCCTCCTGTTGTTCCATTCATGCCACTCTTGCTCAAAGGTAAACCACTTTTCTTATGAACAAACACCTATTTTTATTTTGTTCAAGAAAATTAGTTACAAACTCTCTACTTCAGGACACCACAAATTTAACTTGTAATTCCTGTAAACTGTAGAAAGTGAACGCTCATTGTTTGTTTCCTCACATTTGATGAACAGTGGACCAAGTTAAAATATGTTACTGGCTGGCCAGTTGTAATGTATTTGGGTTAAGTATCAGCACATAACAGTTTTTAGTGATCAAACTCAACTGTACAGGTAATAGGTAGAATGGTGGTTGACATGGTGTTGAGCTATGGACTGAGAAAGAATTCAAATGATTCTGAAGCATACAAATGTAAAGACAATGATCAGCTTCCAAATATTCTTTAAAAAAATACCACATGACTGTTATTACCTGTTGAATGGAGGCTTGGGAACTTGAGAATCAGCACCTCGTCATATCAATTTTTTTAGTGGTGGGTCAACATTGCTGGATATTAACATGCATCAGATGCCCCCATGTCAATGGCTGCCAAGATGAGTCAATTATGCATGTGCTATGTTTAAATGCTTGCTGTGTAATTTCTGTTCAGTATTTCAGTAGAAGTCAGAAACTAACTAGTGAATGAAGATGACAGTCTTGGCAAAGGATGTAGAGAGAGACATCTTGTTTAGTTTAATTTAGTTAATATATAAAATAAATTATTTTATGAGAGTATATGTGATAAGATTTTCTGTTATAAAAATAAATGACCCTGTTATTATAGACATGACATTTACACATGAGGGAAATAAGACCTGCCTAGATGGGTTGGTCAACTTTGAAAAGATGCACATGCTGGCCCAGACCATGCGTACCATCCGTTACTGTCGAAGCAGGCATCTATGTAAGTTATATTGTGTTTTTTCATAACTGCTTTACATGTGATGTTTTTATCTTGCTTTATTTGCTGTTCTAGACAACACTTTTAATTGTTATGAGTCAAACGAAAACCAATCTTTGATGTATTAGTTGTACTGCTTCATACAGAAGTACAGGGACCTAGAATATTGAAAATGGGGTAAACTATACTATAGTTTTCCCTACTCCAACTTCAGGTCTCTGGCACAGCTTCAACTGAGGGCCAAGGCTGTGATTTTATGCTACCTAGTTAAGTCTATTTCATAACCCAGAATGGAGCATGGTTGTAATTATGACTAGCAGGTGAAAAGCAAAATACTTGAAGAAAATCGTGACCAGAGCCACTTATTCTACAATGCATTTGATGTGGACTGCCCTAAGTCTACAGCCAGCATTTAACTACCTGAGCACTGGCAAATCCCCATGAATTTACTGAGAGCTGAATTAATATTCTGGAAGACACTGATATTGCCATCTGATTTGAACAAAATTTACTTTAACAGAAACTGCATATATCACCAAGTAAAAGTTCCAAATCATACAAACAAATGGTGTTAATATTTCACTTGCCCATGAAGTTCTTATGGCCAATGTTAATGGTAAGGAAACTGGAAGGAATGGTAGTGAGATGATCTTCAATGGCATATTCCATCATTCTGAGTTCCATGAATGATTCAAAGTTATGAAAGGGGACAGACATACACACGCAAGGGCATGGTGATACCACAAACATCTCTTTTGCCATGAAAAATAAATATCTGTAATCAGTAAAACCTGCACAATTTTACGATAGTGTTTAAACTATGAGGTCTTTTAAAATAATTTGAACTTGTGAAAACAAACATAACATTATTTTTTGTGTTAGGTGGATTGAATTTGCCTTTCTTTAACCTTAAATCTTGATATTTAACACAGTGCTTGAACCACCATCTCCAAAGAGTGAAGCAGAAGTGAGGTCTTACATCAGCTGTCTCCGCATTATCGACAATCAGCGTGTGCTTACAAGTCTGTCGCAGAAGCTGGAGCCACGAAGGTCATAGTAAAACTGTCATTATCATTATTATGACAATCTAGTCATTTCATTACCCAACAAGTGAAAGTCAGAAGAAGAAAAGTGGAGGACCTATTTAAAATGCATACTAAACCCAGTGTCACATTTCCAAACATTAGGGATAGGAAACAAACTTAATTTATATTATGATCTGAGGGTTTTTGCTAAGTAGGGAGATTAAAATGAGTAAAATATCAAAAAATGATCTATGTTGTCTAACTACCCATCATTCTACCAACTGATTTGGTCACAAGGAACTAGCCATAACAAAATTATTTTTTTTAGTTTCCATTCTTATTCTTTCATCTCATACATGAAGTTCAGTCTTTTTTTCTAGACCTTTCTCCTTTCACTGGTGTAACTTGAGTATTTTATTCCATACATACCATGAGTTTCTAGCTTTAGTAGTCTTTGTCAGTTTGAATAAGTTAACATGTGTTTGGTTTCATCACAAAATTGGTGTTTGTCAGTGTGTATATTTTGTGATTGTTTTAAACATATGTGCATTATTTCCCATTCTGCTGCCAAATAAGTGATTGCGCACTTAGGTTTTGCTCTTTTAAAAACCACACATTATTAATAAAGAACTGACATTCCAAATTATGTGTATGTAATACAGTGTTTTTGTCACCTACACTACGCAACAGTTACTAAATATGATATGACACTATTTGGTTAACAGCAACATGTTTTGACATTGATCTATCTTATCAGGCTATTGGTTTATGTGCAACTTGAACACTGAATTGAGCACAATTTTCAAGTCAGCAAAGTTTAGTTGCCATGAAAATTTACTACAAGAATTGAAAAGCAAGTTAGTTTAGGGTCCAATATGAATAACACCCTTCATAAATTAACACTCCCGCTCTCTCCTCCTAACCGAGCAGAGATGAACTCAAAAATGAAAGATACAAAGCCTTATTATAACTGGCCAGCAGTAAGGTCCATGTATGGACAGCTGGGTTATGTAGTGCTGAAAACAGTGACAGATATCTATAAAATGTTTCTTATAACATGAAGTGACAAAAAGTAACAGCGTAATGAATGAGATAATATTGAACAGTTTCTTATTATTCCTGATTATGTGACATTTCATTTGGCTGAAGGTTTCAATGTGACATATGTGTAAATGAACATGTATTATGGTGCTTAAACTAAAAAAGGCAGTTATTTCTGTAAGTATTTATTGTCTCTCTTAGTCAAGTCAAAAAGGTATTTCTGTGTTAAAGTATAAATACAAAATTCTTCAGTTTGGAGGTTGCATGATGGTCATTTCATAAATTCCTATTTTTATATACAAAGTTCTTTCTTAAAATATTTTGTGCCTTGTTATTCTCCAGCTTTACCTAGCAAGCACACAGATTTGAACACTTAAGCTTTTAAGCAAGCAAGCAATTACAACCAGTAAATGTGTATCTTTCACTTCTTGGGTTTATTGTATTAAAAACACTCCAATAAAAGAATATGACAGTCCATTGAAAGACTGGTGTTATATACAATATTAGTTTGGAATAGTGTAAGATATGGTACCAAGATTTGTAGATGGGGTCAGAAGATAGAGGGAGCTCTTAGAATTCAAAATGGGCCACATCAGTTTATTCTCAAGTGTGATGATGAGGTATTGAACACTGATTCTTATTTGGAAAGAAGTTGGACAATTGGAAATTATTTCTGCTTTAGAGCTTATATAAAACATAGCATTGCTGTATTACATGATTAAACAAACCTTCCTTTCAGCTAAATGAGATGTCACCATAGGACTGTTCAAGTGATGACATGTGAAATAAGACTGTGATGTCAATTAAGGGGTTTATTGAGCAGTATGCAATAATAATCGTTTTACAAATGTAATGTAAAATACCATATCCAACCCACATACCAGGTTGTCACTTTGTACATATTGGTATAAGTATTGATGCCAATTTTTCAAATGTATTTGATACGATAATGGTAGAGAGCAGATCAGAAAATAATATGGATGTTCACATTACTTAGGGAATGTGGAACAGTTACTATATTGCTTATATATGTGAAAGTAGGAAGGTCTTGCAAGTATAGCCAAAACACCACTATATTATTCATAAAATTTGTGATAGTGTTACAAAAATATAGGAAAGCCTTTCGATAACTGTACCTTAGAATTAAAGAAACTTGCCAAGTCATTTATTTGACTGAATTGAATAATTACTTTGTATACATAATGTATGCAAACATTTTTATCAATACTGTGTTAATATGAATTTGTATTACATGGCAATCTTAATGTGGGTTGTTATGGAACACCATTTTAATGTTTTTGAACTCATTTTTGGCCTATAAGCCCTCTTAATGTGGGATTGTTGGATAAGACAATCATCTGTTTTCTTGCAAATGAGTGAAAATTCCATTTAAACTGTACAATCATATTGGTTGCACTACATGTCATTTTACTATAACCACAAAGAAATTGTATTTATTAAGACTTAACAAACATCTGGATTTAATTGTTTTAGAATGTCAGCATTCTGATAAAATCTGTCAACATGGGAAATAGAATCTTCTGTAGTATAATTGCAATAGGAAGTCCAAAACAGACAGTATAATTTGTTTGAAAGAGGGAATCATGTCAGTATTAACTCTGCAAAATGTTTACAGTTTTTATGGAAATCAGATGGTTTCAGATTATTACGACTTGAAATGCTAGAACCCTCACTCTTCTTCATAATACCTGTTTGCCTTTCTGTGCTGTCTAATAACTTCTGAAGTGATGGGAGGGTGGAGAAAACTGCATAATGAGGAGTTCTATAGTTTTTAATTTTCACATATTATTTTTAGGGTGATGGAATCATTGAGAATAAGATCAATGTGGCATGTAGCACATATGGAGGAGTTTTTGATAACATAAAATTTACTGAAGTTTGTTTTGTGTGACCAATGTGATTGTTCAGTTGTAGTATGGCCATCATGTCTGTGAAGAGTGACAATGTTGAGCCCTAGAGCTTATTTGCTTTACATCACTTTCTAATTTGTGTGTGCATCCACTTTTCTCTATGTCTCTGCAACTATCTCTCAGTCACTTTATGTATTGTTATAATTCCCAGATCTTTCTACACTGTTTATCAATGTAGCTTCCAGTCATGACATAAATATATTAAGAATGGGTCCATTGTTCTGTTTTGAACAATTTATCACACAATGCAGCATGCTCATATTTAGAAATGCAGAAACACTTCTATTCTTGTGCACATGTTTGTGAAAAAATTTAAATATAGAAACATTAGAATTTAATATTACATTTTTGTACAATGTTGTTCTCACTTTGATTGTTAAAATCATTTGGACCACTCCACAGTGAAGTTGGTAATAATATTTCAAAGAGTATAATTGTATGTGATATGTAAACTATTCATTTTAATGGAAGTCCATCGCTATAAAACTTGAAATTAAAATATATTTAAAAAACACTGTATGTTCATGAGAGAGAGAGGCCCGACAAAGCTACCCTTATAAAGGCCCCTGTATGTTGTGGTAACATTGTGCAAGAATAAACAGAGGGAAGCACAAAACTAGTCTGAATGTGCCAGTGTTGCAAGACTTCTGGATTGTAGTGCCTCGTTCAATCAAATTTGCCCAATAAGACTTCTGCACACAGTTTATTTTATATCATCTCCTTAGCAACTGTGCTACATACAGAATCACTGAAATTTCTCTTTACACTTTTAAAACTTTATTCTAAATAAGTAGGCTATGCCCAGTACTGCAATTTGTTGAGTCTGAGTGTTCTGATAGTCATTTATCTGAATTCAGTATGAACCCCACTGGTGATTCTACACATATAAATACAATAATCAATCAGGAAATGTCATTTATCACAGTGTGCAGATATGAGGCCTGGAAGACCCTAATGAAATGATACAGCATTCCAGGGACATCAGGAAGTTGAATGTATTCTGAGCCTTGCCTGCAAACAAGGCATATCTGCCTTCCTTTATTGCTGTGTACCTTAGCATAATGGAACTGTGGGTGATGCCATAACTTGAAGATCATAGTAACATTTTCTTTTTTGATCAAGAGAACACAATGCCTCTTTTTATCGCAGTGTGACACAATTTCAGAACAACTGTTTGCCAGGGAGACTGATAAGCAGAGGTGGACCAACATTGTGGCCTTCTGGTTCCTGTAATCAAACCCCAATTCGATTTGGGGGGAGGTAAATGTTAAGGAGACTGT